TGAACTACAATACTGATAAGTGATTAATAAAAGTCAAAAGACCAAAAAGGTCACCTTAATACCAAAAAAAAAAAAAATTTTATATTACAAAAAAATAATTTTAATCTAAATATTTGTATATAACGTTTAAACATATTCAAATTATAAAAATCAAATCAATAAAATTTTTTTTTGTCATTTTTGGCAAATTCCCTATCGCAACAAAATTGTACCGACAGATTCTCGATTTTGATTGGCTAACGGTCGTAGATCTGCAAATTTTTGGCCTGCATTACATAAATTTCTGACCGGAATTAACTTTCTAACTTTTCATTCCAAAAATAGAAATTTTCAAAGAAATAGGTTCGCACAATTAAAATTAGTCCAGGATTAGTAAAATTTGAGTAATTTCGGCCATGATTTTTGATCGACTCTCTTAGCCAATTAAAATCGAGAATCTGCCGGGACAATTTTGTTGCGGCAGCTAGGGTTACAGCTGTATTCATAAATTTTGGAAATCTGGTAAAAATTGACCAACCAAATATTTGCCGATTCGATAAGTTTTGATTCGGATGTGATTACATCCGAACCAAATATTTATCAAAACAACGATATTCGGTTGGTCAATTTTTTGCTCGACTTTCCAGAATTTATGAAAACAGTCGAAATCTCTACCCGGGTAATTTATTATGAATTCCGGGTAATCATATGGGATCTTTGCTAGGAAAATCAAGTCACGAGATATAGTAAATTATAAGTTCTAATCCTAGCAAAGATCCATATAGCAACAATTTCTACCCGGATCCAATCTCTAAACAGTTATAATATCAATGTGAATTTTTTAAAAATCTTCGGCCCGGCCCGCAATTATAAAAGGAAATTTATTTTCAGGCCCGGACTGGGCCTTGGATCATACCATTTTTCTTATACATAATGCGTATTTGATATTGTACATACGTATAAGTTACTTGATAAGATAACAATACCAAAACTTTGAAATAGATTGCATAAGATAATTGATAATTGGGTAATACGTATTTAAAATATTAGAAAGTACAACAAAAATATTGAATCTGCTTGCATATTATTAACAAAAATTTTTTAGCTACCAAGTATTCGGGTTGTATGTCAAATAAATTAAAAATCCGGTCACTAAAGGTTGGTGATATAAAAACCAAAAGTTTTTATGATCTAAAAAAAAATTTTTTTTTAAAAAAAATAGGTATAAATCTTGAACATAATGTTTTTTATTTTTAATTTACAAATGAACAAATGCGCATGTCAATTAATAATTGACATAAATTGAAACAATAACACGCTACAGATGTAACGTGAAGAAAAATCAGCCGATTTTTCGGCTTAGGTGATTATCTTATTATCGGTCAGGATTACCATTAAAAAATAACATGATGTTACCACTGGTGATACTCCAATATTTGGATGTGAAATTTTCATATCGGAGTAATTTCACGAATCAAACAATCGAACGATTTCTATTATACATACATAATTTTTACATATGAAATCTGATGTACGCACATGCAATATATTGTTTTTTATTATTCGAACGCACCTATACATTTAGTGGGGTATTGCATTTAGGGAGTCAAAAATCTACGTATAAGTATTATACGTATTCATTAGTTGGGCCCAAATGAAAATACGTATGCATTTAAGGAGACTTTTCATAGAGCGTGCATTTGAGGGTTACCGTTACATTTTATAGGTGTCTGGTCTGACAGTGTACGTACATATGTAAAAGATACCAGATACGTATATTTGGAAATTCCTAGTTAAACTAGCACTAGACCTTTTTTGGGTATTACAGAAAAATGTATTGTATAAACCTGTTTGTAAGTAATGTTTGTATAGATGTAGACTAAGAAAATTTACGGATGCATGTATGGTTAAACTAATAAAGTTTATCTTTTATAAATGATTTCTTTTAATAGTTAAAGTTAGGATGAGTGCTAGTATTGCTCTTGTTTCATGTTAAGGTTAGTATAGACTATAAGTAATGACTCGATTTTTTTTACGAACTACACATGCTATCTTAATCTCTACTATACATACTTTATTAACTATACATCTATACATTACGTGTTTGCTATATACCGATACTCACCTTTTTTAAATCGGTTAATGTACATGCGCAATGTGCTCGGAGCACATGCTTTTAAAAAGTTTCACATGTTTTTGACTAGAAATGTGCAAACTTTTGAGAATTACGTATTAATAAATCACATAAAAGATAACAAAATCAGATACGTACGCATACTTTTGGGTTTATATTTGATACACTGATGGTGGATATCCTAGGTAAACTTCATTTTTTTCAAAGTAAACGTTAACATTGTTCTAAATATATGGATGACTTTTGTGTCGATTTTTTTAATAGTGAAACGTTACGTTCTTAAAAATAGGTTTAAAATTAGCTTTAAAGCTTATCGTTATACGTACTGTACGTACGTACGTATGTACGTAGCAGTTAACTGTATTCGGATAATTGCTTCATTAGTCATTCGGATGCAAATCTTGAAAAAATATTTTTCGGGTGCTACGTATCATGAGTCAGCATCATATGATTAACTCACTATCATTGATCACTCTTTACGTAGATAATTTACGTTAACAATAATGTATGTAACTATGTAATGTAACTATGTACAAATTTGAAGTAAAAATAAACAAAATTTGGCGAATTTCTATAATTAAAAATTTTGAAACATAGTTTTAAATTCAAAAAATTATGGAATTTAATTAGTAAAAAAGCGTTTTAAAGTTTCATAGTTTTATATATCGATATAGTATATTCTATAGTACAGTAGTAGGTAGGTTATCCACTATGAAAAAATGATCGACAAAATCTTAAAAATCTGCATTATATGATACGTAGTACGTAAATCAATTTAATACGTAGCAGGTAGTAATACCGAAACACAAAAAATACAATTACACTTCAAACGACACGATTTATTATCGTTATGGACAATAGAAAAGGCAGACTGCAAAAAGTAATGTCTTAACTTTATACAGTTTAAAGCTATTCTTTATTTTAATCAAAAAGAAGCTTAAGATTTAAAAAGAATTTTTTTTTAAATCATTAATTAACGTTAATAACATAACTTTAAAATTCATCTGGATAAGGAGCTATGAAAATTGACATTTAAAAAAAAATCATTTTTTCTGCTTTCATTGATAATAACCGGTAAACCAAATTTATTTGGATTTATTTGGTCGTTGTGTCATTGACGGCTAAAACAAAGACATAAAATTTGCTATTTTTTTTGGGCTGAAGGATTGCCTTATGTTATACGTAGTTACACTTTAAGGTATACTATAACTGATGATATACTCTGATATACTCTGATATATTCTTAATATATATATATATATATATATAATATATAAATATAAATAAATAAATATATATATATTATATATATATAAATATAGTTACAAACAACATTACCACAAATCGATTTTATTGGTGTTATCTATCAAAAGTTATGTGTAAATATAGAAATTAGACAATCCCAGTTAGATATGTCAGAATATCGGGTTATTTTTTGCTTTTAAGGAAAATGTTTACGGTTAAATAACGTAATGCAGTAATGATAATTTAGTAACTGTTGGGGTACAATTTTAAAAATAAGATACACAAAAAAGGCGAATTAGAAATCTCTTGGCAACAAACCATGTCAATAAATACTATCCCGCCAATAATTATTGTCCTTTGCTCTGCTTTCCTCGTCTTCAAATTCGTATTGTAACAAAATTACACTTATTTGGAGAGGAAAAAAAGATAGCCTTATACTAATGACTTCGAACGACGGTAATGTAACTAAAGGGAAGGATACAAATTCACAAACTCTAAATTCATTAGAGTCCGAGAATTCATCCAATTTTATCAATACAATTAATATCAACGATAATTATTCTGAGGCAACTCTCAATATATTACAAAATGACCTTAATTTTGACGAAAGTCTAGTATCAACTAAATCAGAACAAAAGTGCTACCATTTTCAAAGTTCAAAACTGAATTCATCAGCAAATTCTCCAATTACATTTACTAATCCATTCCTTCATGCTTCCTTAAATTCTTCACCTCAATTATCGACTTCACGATTATCAACTTCACGTTACAATTCTACAACAAATTCCGTTACTCCAATCATTCAAAGAAATCCTTCAATGACTTCTCAAATCAAAAATTCTATAACAACTAGAATGAATGCTATAAATAATTTTGTAAAAAGTTTTCGAGATTTTATCAGGGGTCGTAAACCAGACGTTTTAAGTCGTGAATTCTTAATAGATCCTGATCATAAAGGGCCTATTTTAGATGCTCAAACAAACACTCCTTATGTAAATAATTCAATTACTACATCTCGATATACGTTTTACAACTTTCTTCCAAAACAACTTTATGCTCAATTTTCCAGAGCTGCGAATCTTTACTTTTTATTTATGGCCACTCTTCAGATCATACCAGATTGGTAATTTCGAATGAATCTTTTTTAATCAATTTATTTATTTATTATTTTTCGAATGAATATTTTTATTTAATTTATTATTATCTCTTTTTAAAGGTCTCCTACTGGTCAATTTACAACATTGGTTCCTTTAAGTATATTCATTTCTTTATCTATTGCTCGTGAAGGTTTTGATGATTATCGAAGACATAGGCAAGATTTTGCTGAGAATAATAAAGAGTGCACTGTATTACGTATATATAATCCAAATGGTCGATTTGCCATACCAACAAAGATTAAATGGAAAGATTTAAGAGTTGGTGATCTGGTATTAATCAAGGCTCAAGAATGGGTTCCTGCTGATTTATTATTACTTTCTTCTAAGGGTGAAAATGGTGTATGTTATATTGAAACTGCTGCTTTGGATGGTGAAACAAATTTAAAGCAACGTAAAGCTTTAGAAGAAACAAATTCAATGTTGAATTCTCCTGACTCACTATCAGAGTTTAGAGGTAAACCATGTTCTTCTTTAATTATTATATTTATATATTTATATATTTATATATTAAATTGTTTTTTTTAATTTATAGGAAAATTATGTGCTAAAGGTCCCGATCAAGATTTATATAATTTTGACGGTTACTTGGAATTCAATGGCAAAAATTTACAATTATCCAATAATCAAATCTTATTAAGAGGTACTATATTACGCAACACTCCAGAAATTTATGGTCTAGTGATTTTTACCGGTGAAGAAACAAAACTTCGTATGAATGCATCCAAAAATATTCGAACAAAAGCTCCTAATATGCAAAAAATAATGAATCGTGTTATTTTTATCCTTTTATTCTTTGTCCTTTTATTGGCTGCTACTTGCACTTATATGTCTGCAAATTGGATAAGACGTGGCAAAGATAGTAATTGGTACTTGAGAGGAAATACTCGTGATATGGTTACCGTATTTTTTTCTTTCTTGATTATTTTCAACACCATGATACCAATATCTTTATATGTCACTATGGAAGTTGTTAAACTTGCTCAAATTTATTTTATAAATAATGACATACGAATGTATAATGAAGAAACTGATACTCCAGCTGAATCTCGTACCTCTACTATTAATGAAGATTTAGGTCAGGTTAAATATGTGTTTACTGATAAGACTGGTACTTTGACTGAAAATATCATGTTATTCAGACAATTGAGCGTTTGTGGTCAAAAATTTTTACATGATAAGGATGGTAATAGAATTGACACTGAAGATTTATTAAAGATGTTATCTATATCTTTACCGATTTCAAAGAAAGCAATAACTTCAATTTTAACTTCAAAACGACAAAAGAATAATACTCATTATTCAGAAGATCTTAATGATGAAATCATACCAACAGCTTCAGTAACTCGTCAAAATTCTGTAACCAGCAACAATTTTTCTATGATTGCTCCACGTTCTTCAACTCCTTCTTCTTACTCAATGAAATCTAAGAAATTATTAAATGATCAATCAATTTTAAACACTCTTGATTTATTAACTTTAATACATTATCTACCAAATACAATCTTTGATCAACGTGCTAAATTTTTCTTACTTGCCATGTCCTTATGTCACACGTGTGTGCCGGAATTTGATAATGAAACTGATGATGTAATTTATCAAGCTGCTTCACCTGATGAATTTGCTATTGCCAATGCTTCTAAAGATTTGGGTTATATCATGACGGATCGCTCTATGGGAAAGATTTCACTTAAAATAAATGATCTTGTACCTAATATGTCTGATGAAAACAATAGTTTAAATCAAGATTTTCAAATATTGAATATATTAGAATTTTCAAGTAAACGTAAGAGAATGTCTGTAATATATAGACTTCCTGATGGTAGAATTTGTTTATTTTGTAAAGGTGCTGATTCGGTTATTATGGATCGATTACGAGTTGTTAATGAAATGGATGCGATTGATTCAGGAAATAATAGACCAATTGATAATAATACTATTGATAATACTATTATTGATGATAATATTATTGATCCACCTCAAAAATTACGTATTAATACTCATGTTAATATGGCACGTATATTAAATGATGATTCAATTGATTCTCCTTCATCAATAAGAACAGACAAAACAACAGATTTATATTCCGTATTAGATGATAATTGGATATGTCAACAAACTATACGACATCTTCATGAATTCGCAATAGAAGGTCTTCGAACTTTATTATATGCTCATCGTTTTATTGAAGAAGATGAATATTTATCATGGAATAAACAATTTCAAGAAGCTTTAAATTTATTGATAAATAAACGGGAAAAAATTGATGAATTAGCTGAATTAATAGAACGTGATTTGGAAATTACTGGTGCAACTGCTATTGAAGATAAATTACAACGTGGTGTACCTGAAACTATTGATAAATTACGTTTGGCTGGTATTAAAGTTTGGATGTTGACTGGTGATAAACGTGAAACTGCAATAAATATTGGTCATTCTTGTTCAATTATAAAAGATCATTCAATATTAATAAATATTGATCAAACTACTGATCTTATAACAATTTCAAATTTATTAAAAGATGTTAAAAATCATATGGTAATAGTTATAGATGGTGAATCTTTAATGAAAATCGAACAAGATCTTTTACTCATGGATTTATTTTTAGATTTAGGATTAAAATGTGACGCTTTAATATGTTGTCGTGCAAGTCCATCTCAAAAAGCTCTTTTAGTTCGTAGTATTAGAGAAAAATCAAAAGATTCCGTTGTAACTTTAGCAATTGGTGATGGTGCAAATGATATTGCAATGATACAAGAAGCTCATGTAGGAATAGGAATAACTGGTCGTGAAGGTTTACAAGCTGCAAGATCAAGTGATTATTCAATTTCACAATTTAGATTCTTGGAAAATCTTTTATTCGTTCATGGTCGATGGTCTTATATTCGAGTATCAAAATTTGCATTAGGAACTTTATATAAATGTATGTGCTTTTATTTAACCCAAGGATTATTTCAATTATTTGCTGCTTTTTCCGGTTCTAGTTTATATGAACAATGGTCACTTGCTTCTTATAATACTTTATTTTCTTCATTACCCGTAATGGTTATTGGAATATTTGAAAAAGATTTAAATTATGATACATTAATGGAAATTCCAAGACTTTATAAAATTGGTCAAGAAAATAATCAATTTAATATTAAAATATTTTTTTCTTGGATGTTTGGAGCTATATGTCACGCTATATCTATAGTATCTATACCAATATTATTACATGGATTTTTTCATAATTATGAAATTAGAGTTGGTGGATCTCCTCAAATCTTTGAATTAGGAATGGTTATTTATACATGTATTGTATTTGTAGTAACAATTCATATCTCTTATTTACAATCTCATAATTGGACCGGTGTTTCTCATTTTACTTCATTTATAATGATATGTGGTTGGTTTGCTTATCAAGTTATGTATTCTTATGCATATCCAATTGATAATAAATCTGCCATGTATGATGTTAGAGGTGTATTTCAAAGAGTTGGGAATAAAACTACTTTTTGGTCTACTGTATTATTGACAGTATCATTTGCTTTAATTCCTCATTTTATTCTTAAAATTTTTAGAAATTTAATTAAATCTACCGATGTAGAATTTTATCAAGAAGCTGAAAAAGATCCACAATATTTAAAAAAACTTATAGAATGTGAAAATTTAGATTATGAAAATTTCGATAATGAAGATTCGCATAAATTTAATATTGAAGAAAAAGATGATACAAAATTTGATATTAATCAAAATTTCAATTCTTCATTGGAAAAACGTAATTCTTCACTTATAGCACATTATCAATATTCCTCTTCTTCAACGTCGATCATTGACGGTAATATTGATGGAAATATGGCACAAATGGTTTTTTCACAAATAACTTGTTATGAGAGAAAAGGATGTCGAAAAATATAATTAATGGGGTTTTTGTTTTACATCATCAGTTAAATTTTTTTTTTCTTTTTTTTTTTGAAAATACGTCTTTGCGTATTATTGTATAATTAATTTTTGTATCATATTTGTAATGTTTTATATAAAAAAGATTGTTTTTTGGTTAAATAAATATTAAATGAGTTCGAAAGAATTTTTATAATAAACAACTTGTAAATTGATAAGTCGCGAGAATTTTTTACAATAAATAACTTGTTAACTTTTTTTTTATCAAAGATATACAAAAGTTGACCTCCGCCGAGTTATGATTAATTTTATAATATGAATTTAAATTTAAATCAGGGGTTTTTTCCTCTCAATATACGTCTTCAAGATGACATGTTTATGAAATATGAAATAACTACAATTAATTTTGTAATATGAATTTTAATAAGGGTCTTCCTCTCAATACATAGTTTAAAACAGTCTGGATGACGATTTTATTAGTTTAAATGACCATTACAAATAGATAGCAAATAGATAGCAAATAGATAGCAAATAGATAGCAAATAGATAGCAAATAGGTAGCAAATAGGTAACGAATAGAGCAAACACCTCCCTTCAATACATAAATTTAAAAATCAATAAAATATTAATACGTTAAAAAATTCATATCAAGAAAGTATGTCATCTTCTTAATCCCTGAAAGAATACATGATTCATCGCTTGATGTGCTGTTAATCGAGATTCTGGGTCCTTACAACATAGACCTGAGATAAATTCAACCCCACATTGAAGATTCAATTCTAGTAATGGAGTATAATCAATTTCATCTGAAACGATCTTATGAAGTATCAACTCTTCTTGAGAATCTTCTCCCAAAAAAGGCAAATTTCCCGTTAACGCATGATAATTAACTATGCCGAAAGACCACATATCAACAGCGCAAGTGTAATGACAATGTCTTTTACCGTTCATCAGTTCTTTGGCAATTTCATAAGGCATATACGCAGGTGTACCCGTTGCTGTATGCTCAATAGAATCCTCCAATTGTTCAATTTTCGATTGTTCAATTTTCTTCGATTGTTCAGTTTTCTTCGATTGTTCAGTTTTGATAAATGCTTTTGTTAAACCAAAATCAATAAGTTTAACTTCTTTACAGGTTTTATCCGTAAACATAATATTTGAAGCTTTAATATCTCGATGCATATAACCATTATCATGCATATATTGGATAGCATCGCAGATTTGATACGCCAAGCCAGTCCATATATCAAATTTGATCTCTCGTTCCCTATTAATAAAAGCTAACAAACTTCCTCCTTTCATATGTTCTAAAATAATAATCGTATGTTCAGGATCTTTCGAGGAATTAAGAAACTTTATAATATTTGAATGTTGGAATTTACTGATCATAGTTGCTTCTTCACATATACGGTTATATAATTCTTGTGACATATTTTCTTGAAATATAAATTTGCAAGCGACGCTGTCATTGGTTGTGAGATTTAGTCCTTTCATAACTATGCCATGAGCACCCCTATCATAATAAACAAATATATATAAAAATACTAAAATTAACCGGGTTACAGTTAACTAATAATTTATAGATCAAATTGGATAGATTAACTATTATCCGGTTAACTTTTAACACCGAATAATTTTAGCAATATCCAAAAATAAAACATTAAAAAACCTTATTTTTTTTCAGGGGGGGGGGGGGGTTTATCGTAATTTGAAAAGTTAAAGTGTACACTTACTTTCCAAGATATTCTTCTGATCTAACTTCGTAAAGATTATATAATGATGGTGGCATTCTAAATCTTCGACTTAGTCTTTCTCGAGCATCGTGATATTCATTATCAGAATATCTAATTTCTATAAATAAAACATATATTATTATTAAATATTATTGATAAAAAGCTTATATCAAAAAAAACCATTATTATTATTATTCTTATTTGGGTAAAGAAAATTTATATTACTTATGTGTTCACCAATTCGAATCAAATCTTGGCTATGTAATTCCATCGAATTACCGAATCCAATTCTTCTACCATTAACAAAGGTTGACGAATTAAACGACAAGTCCCTAACAAATGCCGTATGATTACATCCTTCCACTCTAGGATGTCTTTTCTAAAAAAAAAACAAAGTTGAATTAAAAAATTAAAAACAACTTAATATTATAAATTAGCAATTGTATATTATATAACCAAATCTTAATATTACCACTATTACTAATTGACAATGTAATGGACTAATTATATGGCTTTCATCGACAAAGAGTCTACCTTCATTGCAACCGGAAAGTGTTCCAATACAAACACTAGTTTTCGCTTCACTCAAAGTAAAGGTCTTGACTGGAACACATTCAATCCTGAACGTTGCAATAGGAACTGTACTTTTTTGTGGTGGCGCATTAACGAGTCGTTTGTGTTCAATATATTCTTGTGTAAAGTAATTCTTTGCCGGTCTACCCTAAATAAATATGTTTTCATAAGTAAGTTCAAGTTTAAGGAAACAAAAATTTCATCTTTATTTACCAATTTTTGTTTTTTAATTTTCATTTTGAAGAGTTGGATTAAACAGAAACTGCGTAATTGTTCTTTTATTTAAATAGCCTTAATTCCTGGATTTTTATTGGTCGGATCAGATAAATTATCGTTATCACTCTTACCCCGTAGTTTTTAGAACAATGGCTTCGCAATACATTAAAGGCATAGTGGCTGGAGGAATAACGCTAGGTTTTGGTTATTTGTTAATGAAAGTTGTTACACCTACTCAAGAACAACTTTACAAGGTCTAATTTTTTATTTTTATTTATGTTAAATGATTGAAAATTTTTAAACTAATTAACTTACGAATTTTTTTTTTTTTTTTGTTAATGCTAAACAATTCATTATACTACAACTTTTCCGAATTAAAAGAAATTATCACCGGATTTAAAACTTAAAATTGATTCTAAAGAACAAAGCAAAAATAATGTAGCTATAATGGAATTAATGAAAAAAGTTGCAGAATCCGATAAACCAAGTTCGTTCATTTCATTTCCAATATTTTATTTTTTTTTGTACGACTATTCGAATTCTTTTTTAAATTTACTTTTTACTTAATTGCAAGTATACGATTATAATCATATTCGAGAATTACAAAAGGAGATAAATGAAAGATGAATTTATTTTTTTTTTCTTAAAGATTTGTAGAATATCAAAAGTTATGTATTTTAATTTACAAGAATTAACAAATTCAAAGTTTTTTTTTATTCATTACAGTCATCAAACCTACGTGATTATTCTTTCTCAATGATCTTAAAAAGGAATCTTAAAGCCACCTTATATTTGAAATGAGCAACTCAATATTATTTTTGAAATCTTTCCCCAGGACTAATTTGGTTCTTAACCGTTTTCTTATATGACCACATAATTTATTGATATAAATTTTACCCAAGGATTTCTTACAAAATGTGCAAAATTATTATTAGATTTAACTCTAACAATGTGATTTCGAAGTTAATAAGTGATACGAATTTCATTACGAAATCCATGTCGTCGAATTGTTGAAGAAATTGCTCTTGTTAACGATTCGTAATCCCAGATTATAATCTAGTTTTAAATAAATTAGTAATATTTTTTTCAAAAAAAAAAAATTTAATATCTTTCACATCTCAATTTCGTTTAAAAGATTTTTGTGTTCAATATATTCTCTTAATACTTGCATGACCTATTGGTGGTTGGATTTTTTTCGAAATTGTATATATAACCCCTGTAGGTAAAATATAATAAAGTCAGCAGCTTTTACTTTCGTTGATTGATTAATCCGATGTGATTCCCATCTGAATCAATTGTATAATAGCTATCTTCTTTCGATTCCGTATGGTAACCCTTTTGAAATTGGTCGTCAATTGTCGTTTGGCAATTTTGAAACAAAATTAGATAATATACCATGCTATAATAGTTAATGAATCGACCCGACAAAAAAAAAATCATGTAAACTTGATCGATTAACGTTAAACTTAACCATTTGATCGATCAAACATAATTGATCAATAATTGACCTACTTTTGATCAAGTCAACAAAATGTTCAATTGTTGATTCAACTCGATCAATAATCGGTCCATTGTCTGGAGCGAAGTGACATACTCCTACGCCCTTTGATGACCAAAATTACGTTTTTGATACATTTATAGTAAAGATGTAACGCCCCTGAGAAATTTGATCTACAACATATATAACAAAACTTTTCAGGGGCTGGAGCGAGCACCAGTTTCCAACTCTACCAGGACGGCCTTCAAAAATACGGGTCATATGATGGCGCCACCTGCTGTAGTTGCAGCAGATGAATAGTACTGGATTTATAATGCTATTGCTATTAAAATTTTGATCCTGTATTGCATATTTGCATATTGTGCATATTGAACATAGGTGGCGCCACCTGCAGTAGATGAATAGCACTGGATTTATTTGCATATTGTGTATATTTTTGAAGGCCACCCTCGTAGAGTTCCAGTTTCCGGTTCCTAGTGATATATCGAGTCAATACACTAAGTACTTGTTATAGGCTAGGTTGTAGACGATAATGTGAGCACGTGCACATGATCCGTGTTATGATAACTAAATATATCGGCTGCAACTTTAACTGATAACATTTTTATCCGTAATGTCTGACGTAAGCACTGCCTTTTTTCGTAGTGTTATTCGATCTTTCTAATAATTTAACTCTTTACTTCCGCTTACTTTTTCACTTTCGCCCACTATTTTTTCTTTTTACTTTTGCTCCTTTTTTTTTCGCTTAATTTTTTTTTTTAATTTTCACTAATATGAGTTTATACAAGTTTCACAACTTATGCAAAAAGAAAGAAAAATGATCAAAAAATTGAGTTATCACTTCCCCCTCGTGTCTGAGTCCAAAATATTGACGTTAACCAACTAATCAACTTTAGACGGACTTACACTCAAATCAAAAGTTTATCACAACCGAAATCAAAAACTTATCAATAAGATTTTATTTAAAATTCCTAAAAAATTCAGGATATATGCAATCGTTATTATGAACCACTTATTGTACCAAATTCAATTTTGTTTGTAAAAAAATTGACCATCAAAATTCCGGCAACACACATAACAGCACAACATAATGTTATATTACTGGATTTAGATACAATATAATGGATATGGTATCGTATCAAGGTTAGGTTAAAATTTGAAGGGAAATGCTACAGACACAGCAACACGTGATCTAATCTTAATTCTGCCATATTCTAATACTAACCTTAACTATAATGCTGGCCATGCTGTGTCGTTAGGGTTAGTGCTGGTCATTAGCTGTGTCGATATGGCTGTGTCTGTAGCTTTTCCCAATTTGAATTGATAATAAAGTCATGCGCATTTAATAAAGTTGTGCGCAAATAATGATCGACATATGAGTGCCGTCTTTGTGTGGTAGATAAAAAATTTTGGAAAAATGGGCTGTTCCGATTGAAAACACCCCAATATATCGTGTGTATCAAAAGTTCTTGTACATGGTCGGTCCCTTTCTTTAAATAATTTTATACAGTATATAAAGATCATGATGATAATAAAGCTATTTAAAAAATGCATATCATAAACGCGAATCAGATTTCAAGATTAGGAACTGGTAGGCGTTCGGAGACTTTTCCTTTTTCGGAAAAACACGGGCTTTGTAAACCAGCTTTACCAGCACACGATAGATGGGGTGTGTTCTGAGAAAAGGGGCCAAATTGACAATTTTTTCAAATTTTGTTTTTTAAGCTTAATTTAAAATTAACATAAAAACATTTTTTTTTTTGGTGTTCATAAAAAACATTTTTTATTTAAGAAACAAGTTCTGTTATCTTAATAAAATTTTGCAATCTATTATAGAATTTATAATATAAAATTTAATTTTCCGTAAAAGTTTTTTTTTATTAATTTGGTCCTTTTCTCAGAACACACCCCAGATGGTTGTTGAACTAAGCAGTCAACAACAGGCATTATTTATATATTATTATAATTTCTTTCGTTTTAATTACAAAGTAAAATAACTCGCGTTACACACTCTAATAACAATTTTACAATTATAAACATGCTATTTTATATAATTAATAAAATTATATTATCGTATGTGTTAAATAATTCTATTGTGTTAAATATCTTTTAAAAAATATCATAACTTTAAATAAGTCTGCGGAAGTTCGAAAAATAAAAATTAACAAGTTAATAATTTAAATAACAAAAAAAAAAAACACCGAACCTTGTGAATTGAGCAATACAATATACTCTTACTATAAAAGTAGATAGTACTTCAACCTTTAGCAGAACGACTTTTTCCAACGTGATGCGGCATGATGCGTTCTCTACGTGATTGGTTTTATTTTTTTAAAGTTTATTTATACCCGAACTTTCAGGTTTGCATGAAAATTTGACCGATGATTCCGAAATCGACGTTACACAAGTATTTATAGCCTAATATGCAAATATGTAAATGTGGGAGTACAATGTCCTGATATCATAAACGCACGCGATTATAAAGCAGATCAGTAAACTACAACATCGGTAAACAACAACAAGAGATTCAAAACAATTCGAATTTTCACATTTATATGCAGGTAATTCATTATATGTCAAGTCGAGACAAGACGATTTAGGATGAATTAAATGTATGGATTGTACTACTAAAATTCATACGTAATAAACTTATAAATATGGAGGATTATCCTCTGTTTTTTTTTTGCTGCTGGTTCAAGAATTGCACTTTAACCCTAAAATTGATAAAGAAATAAGGAGTGTAGGTATCGCCACCAGTAGTAAATGCTAATATTGTCTAAATATTTTTACGGTAAAGTTTATATTTATTCTAAAAAAAAGTAGTTCATACGACAGCTCATTTAGCTGACATCACGCCAAGTGACAATTTACCAAAAATATATATCAGACTAATAAAATGCTAATCCTAACCCTATGTGATGTCGCTGTAAATGATTGTCGGTGCTAAAAAAGTGATTTATTATTAACCATTAATTAAATATAATTTATTATTAAATGTTTATCATTTATAGGCGACAAAAATGGCTCAAAATGTTCAAAAAAATTATATCTGCGAACTGGCTAATGAAATCATGATAAACATCTTTAAATATGTAGATTATCCTAAGGATTTATCTATTAGCTGTAAGCAATGGTTTATTATAGCCAGAGACGATTATGCAAAGACAGAATGGATTATTCGTAAGTTCGGGCTGGCCCACTGCCTTTTTCATTCAATTCGATTGGGTTCTACATTTATCAATGTCGCCGTTGCCCAAAAAATCATTTCAAAAGGTGGAATCCTTTCAAGATACCTTATTCAATGGCTTATTAACGACAAAACAACTTCCTGGGTCAACAATTTATCGTCTGATGTTTTTATGTTTTTATTAAACAAAGCATATAATACGTTTAAAGACGATTTGCACCAAAAGGGAAATGATATGAGGGATTTTTATAATTTTTCCGGAGGTTCTTACACAATTAATCTTGCGACAATTATTTTAAATGAAAATTTCGAAAAGATCAAATTTTTGATATTGTGCATGAAGTTTATTCCATTGCCATCATATAGAAATCGCCGAGTTATTGCAAGATCAATCTTTCTCCGTAAAGATCTTGTACTTTTGTGGAAAAAAATTGGCTACCACGAAATCTATGAAGACTTTGGTGATCTTGTAATACAAGAAACTCTTGATGATGTATTTTCACAAATCCAACACCCTAATGTTGAAACTGTTATTGTACAACTTAACGAATTGGTTGATCTAGGATTTCAAGTAAATTATAAAATTTCTATTAAACTTCTTCACCATTTTGAACATCAACTAGAAAATGTCGGAGAAATTATAATTACCGCATTTATAGAAATGATGCAAGAAGTACGAAAAAGCTTCATCAATAAGTGTTTTATGCTCTTAGAAAACCCAAACTTAAACCAAAATATATTGAACTTTCTCTATAACCTCCTACCCGATAACTCTGAGAGCAAATAGTTCTTAGCTTTATAATAGTTTGAAGTGGGAAATTATACATACGTACCAGATAAATCGAATACACGACAGTCAATATCATTGAATACACGATAGTCAATATAATTGAATACACAACAGTCAATATAATTGAATACACAACAGTCAATATAATTGAATACACTGCGTCAATATAATCGAATACACAACAGTCAATATAATCGAATACACGACAGTCAATGTAATAGTATCACAAATTCACCATTATTCCTACCTAAATATTGACATTTACATTTTTTTCAATTGGAAATTTCCATACAAAATTTAAAATTCGAGTCATACAGGCATGAGTCTGAGATTGGCAAAAATAATTTTAATCTTCTTCTAACGAGCTTGGCAATCTATTAAGGTGGCACCGTCAACTCGAGTTGTATCGATACCTTGAATCGTTCCCTGTTATTTCTTACGTGATCAAGATTGCGATTGCATAGGCTCGTATTAGCCTTTACTCCTCTTTCTAACAGAATTATTCATTATTTATTCTCTCTTTTCATATGATTTTTTTAATCGAATTAGTTTTAATAAGTAAATTAAAGGTTTATGCCGAAGATCCATAGTTATCGAAATGATACGTAAGCAGATTTATTATCCTTATTCAGCGCCTTTCTCCTTTTCGTGTTAAACTGCAATACTTTATTACACATTCATTTCAAATTTATCATTGCTTTCATCCAATTTTATGTTTATAAAAAAAAAATTAATAATAACTTCAACTTATTAAAATCACTTTAAGATTGTTTTTAAGCTCACAAACGACTTGAGAATCATGGTCATGAATTGCTGATAACACGAATATTAAGTCATGTGTTATAAATTTTGCACCATTACTTTCTAATTGATAATTGTAACTACATATGAAAGTAGCATTTATGCTTTAAGTAGATTTTTTAAAAATAATAAATTACTGAAAATTTTATGTTATTTAAATAAAAACAAATTTTAATTTTTTTCATGTAAACGTAAAATGCAAAAGTGAACTATCAAATTATATGCAATTTATTATCTCTAACTAGAGGTTTATCTGTATAAGATTATTGTAACCGTTGAATGGGAGAGCTAATAAACGATAGAGACAATATGCTAATTCAACTTCAACAGTGTACAGGAGATAATGAACTTTAGATAAACGAAAATAAACACTAATCAGGATGGGTTTATGTGATGTAATGAGGGTGATAATAAGGTGATTATCTCAAGGACGTTGATGATTTGGCGATATCCCAAAAAGGATGAGCCGCAAACAAAAACCCATGTTCGCTGGGAAGTTACGGAAAGTTAATTAGGCCGTTCAAAGTTAATTAGTTGGTTACTGCATAAGCTTCATAAATCATGTGACTAAGATTGATCAATGATATTCGAGTAAATATTCTTGGACATATACGTGTTTGTCTAAACTTCACCTTTCCCTGAGTCCAAAATATTGACGTTAATCAACCAATCAACTTTAGACAGACTTACGCTCAAATTAAAAGTTTATCACTGCCGAAATCAATAACTACCGAATCGACAAATAATCATTCAGTCAATTTTTTATCTAATGCCCAAAAATAATGTAAACAGCTGTAATAAGATTTTATTTAAAATTCCGGGATATATACAATCGTTATTCTGAACCACTTATTGTATCAAATTCAATCTGCCTGTAAAAATTGACCATCAAAATTCCGGCAACACACATAACAACAATATGGCAATTTACAAGAATTATCACATAATTTGGATTTGGGTAAAATATAATAGGTATTTGAAACAAAATAACGAATTAATTAATAAAGCCATGCTTAATGATCGACATATTAGTGCCGTCAAAGGAAATCCTTTCAATTGGTGCACGGTTGGCCAACGGTGCACAAAGTATAATTGAAAGCCAGATTGTGGGGTTTCCTTTGACAGCACTCATATAGTAACACATACACCGTCAATTTAACTACATTTTACTACAATCCAATTTGATAGCTTAATCACGAAATTTCCAGGCAAATTTACCTGCAAAACGGTGTAAGGAATATGGGCTTTTATGATATTATATCTATTCAAAAATCAAATAAAAAAACTTTGGAAAAAAAGTAAAAATGGACTTTTATATTGAAAACACCCCATATACTGTGTATCAAAGTCCTTGTATATGGTACATGGTCTCTTTCTTTAAATAACTTTACGCAGTATATAAAGATCATGATGATAATAAAAAGCATATCGCAAGGTTGGACAGTAGACTAAAAGGGAATGATTTACAGGTTTCCCTTTTTCGTCTCGATTACATATCGATGTAATCTTTAATAATTTTCACAGGTTTTCTGTTTTCGTCACTCGATTACTTATATTACTTATCGATGTAATCTTACTTATCGGTGTATTACTTATCGATGTAAATTTACTTATCTTACTTATGTATTACTTATCGATGTAATCTTACTTATCGATGTATTACTTATCGATGTAACCTTACTTATCTTATATATTACTTATCGATGTTATCGATGTATTACTTATCGATGTAATCTTACTTATCGATGTAATCTTATTTATATAATTTATCGATGTAATCTTACTTATCGATGTAATCTTTAAGTTCTAACAACTTTCTAATTACTGTCCGGTCAATATTAGGTGTAACGTAACTACCAAACGAGATACATACATGTTTAGGTAATCGATTTTACGTCAAGTCGAGACAGAATGAATAAGAACGAATTAATTGTACTACTAAAAAGTCATACGTAATAAACGTAATAAACTTATAAATAGAAATATTGCCGGTGACGATACCACCAGGATACTAGCGAACACATGTCAGGGATACTAAGTAAAAAATATTTAGACGCCAAAAACCTAACTCTAATAACTAAAATTTGGATCTTGATATCTAACCCAAACCTTGGTTTAGAATTGCACTACCCTAAGATTGGTAAAGAAATAAGGAGTGTTGGACCCTAAAATTGGTAAAGAATAAGGAGTGTTGGTATCGCCACCAAAATATTTTTTTTACGGTAAATTTATATTTATTCTAAAAAAAATGGCAACAGCTCATTTAACTGACATCACGCCAATCGACAATTTACTAAAAATATATACTAGCCACTAATAACATGCTAATCCTAACCCTATGTGATGTCGTTGTCGGTAAAATAATGTTAATTAAATATAATTTATTATCATTTTATTGACAACAAAAATGGCACAAATTGTTCAAAAAAATTATTTCTATGGATTGCCCATTGAAACCATGATAAATATTTTTATACATGTAGAGAGAGAGCTAGCTACTAGCTGTAAACAATGATCTATTATAGCTGGAGATGATTATGCAAAGACGGAATGGATTATTCACAATTCGGGCTGGCCCACTGTCTTTTTTATTCAATTCGTTTGGGTTCTACATTCATCAATGTCGCCGTTGCCCAAACAGTCATTTTAAAAGGTGGAATCCTTTTAAGATACCTTATTTAATGGCTTATTAACGACAAAACAACTTCCTGGGTCAACAATTTATCGTCTGATGTTTTTATGATTTTATTAAACAAAGCATATAATACATTTAAAGACGATTTGCACCAGAAAGGAAATGATAGGGATTTTTATAATTTTTCCGGAGGTTCTTACACAATTAATCTTGCGATAATTATTTTAGATGAAAATTTCGAAAAGATCAAATCTTTGATATTGCGCATGAAGTTTATTCCATTGCCATCAGATAGAAATCGCCGAGTTATTGCAAGACCAATCTTTCTCCGTAAAGATCTTGTACTTTTGTGGAAAAAAATTGGCTACCACGAAATCTATGAAGATGATGTATTCTCACAAATCCAACACCCTAATGTTGAAACTGTTATTGTACAACTTAACGAATTGTTGATCTAGGATTTCAAGTAAATTATAAAATTTGTATTAAACTTCTTTACCATTTTGAATATCAACTAGAAAATGTCGGAGAAATTATAATTAACGCATTTATAGTGTTACGGGGTAATAGGGCGAGTTCAAGGATGAAGCAAATGTGACGAATTGTCGCTTCAAAATCGGTGACGTCGCGTAATGTTACTCAAAAGCGAAGCGAGGCGGTTACGATTTGGCAATGGCTAAGGCGGCTTTCGAGCTAGTTACCGGGTAATGATAGGGACTTTTTTTTTGTTTAAAGAGCGCTTATTTCTATTGGACTTTTTATAATTTATAAACTGTTTTATTTATAATTATTTATTAATAATTTTCTTTTGATTACAGGAGTAGGGAGGAAAGGGGTCCTATCCCCCACTTAATGTTGAAAGGAGGACTTTTTTATAACGGATTGTCAGGGAAGTGTATTGGGAACGTTTTCCCTTGTTCTGTACTAATATTTCCTTTTTCTTTTAATTACTCAATCTCGTCCTTTGATTCATGCTTCCTTATTTTCATCAACTTCTCTGTTTTGTAGGTCCCGCCTTTAGAGTTACAGCCTCGTATCTCAAAATGTCGTCGTGGTACTAAGGCTCAGTTGCGAGCCCGTGGAGGTAAGTTATCTTCACCTTTTCCTTACTAATCTTTTCTTCCTTTTTTAGGTTAGTTATAATTTTTGCATGTAGGGCCCAGGCTTATAATCGTGGGTAACTTGTTCCGAATCTTGGTTGCATACAATGGGGAGAAATCGGGTTACACGATCGCTGGTTTTGGGTCACGATCTGGATCGCACTTCTAGTCACGTTTTCGGTCCCGTTTCGTCAACTACCCCAAGAGCACCACCAAAAATTTTCGGTTACACAACATTTGTACTACATTCCAGCCAATAGTATTTTACG